TCTAGAAGTTGGATTTGGCGAAGTCTCATGAAAATACATCCTTTGGCGCGTTCTTTTCTTTCTTGTAAGATTCAATCTGGAAAAAAGTATTGTTTTGGCATGATAATTGGATAATTGACACTATAGACTCTAATGGGCTAATGGTCTCTAGAATCTCTCTGTTGACGAAAATGGATGAGGCTTTTAACAATGGATATTGGTCTCTTCCTCGAGGAAGACATTCTCTTTTGCTTTTTATTCAACAATGTCTACCTCTTAGAGCACCAGATTTGAATCTCTCACTTCAGGACCTCTTCCTTAAAAAGAGCGGTTTAACTGAATTGCCATATACATATTCTACCTCTAAAACTTGGCATTCCCTTCATCTCTCAGCTTCTAATGTGCATTGGCACAAATCAGTTTGGTTTAAAAGGCGAATACCAAAACACGCCTTTCACTTGTGGGTTGCTCTTTGGGATAGGCTTCCAAAGAAAATTAACTTAAGGAGTTGGGGCTTACATGTTTGAAGTGGTTGTTTGTTATGTGCGAAAGAAGCAGAAAAGAGAAACCACATTATGTTTCAACGTCTTTTCTTGGATCAGGTTTGGTCGTCATTATTTGATCATCACGACTTATCTCCACCTAATTCCCTTAACAACATTATTAATTGGGTATGCTCATCCTCTTCAGATTTGAAGCTCAAGTTAATTTTTTTATCAACTCTTTCAAACGGCCGCCTATTACCTTTGGAAAGAGAAAAAATGAAGATTTCGCACCTCTATTTCCAAACTATAGTGTTAGTGAAAGAAATTCAGTTAATCAGACTGACTAAGCTATCAGATTTTAATCGTGAAGTATATCTAATCCAAACATCTTCCCAGGCTTCCACACACCTCTTTCATTTCGAGAAAGCTTCATTCACATTTGGTTTGTTTCATCCAGAGGTAACTATGATATAGACATATGTCTGTTAATCTCTTAACTTTGCTTTACATCAGTTTCAGTTTTTTTAGTTTATCATTTTTTAAAGCAGGTTATGATTTCAAATGTCATTTTTAATGGAGAATATCAGCAAATGAATAAAAGAAGAATTTGGCATTGGTAACTAAAAACAATTACAATTGACAATCTAATAAAAAGCCTCATATGTGATAAAATCATAGTCGATAGGAATTTATTAAATTATAAATTATAATTTTTTGTTTGGTTATTACATAAATTAACCCCAAAAAGGTAATTTCAAAAAAATATATTTGACTTATTTTAACATCTTACTAGTTATCAACACTCACGATTTGATGAATCCAGCTTATGTATCCAGCTTTTATATAATAAAAATTTGTGTCTACGCACTCTTGGTCTTTAACGTACAATGCTTATTAGTAGTACCATTTTTATTTATTAAGTTACTAAAATTGACATTTAATGAAAGAAAACCGAAATTTGCAAAAATGCAAGTTTTGTCTACAAGTTCACACCGAAGATCGATGTAACAAGTAAGAAAAAAATAATACTTTGGTTAAGTCGCAAGTCAAATTTTCTTGTTTTCTGTCAATGTTTAATTAAATAGGTACAATTACAAAAATACCACTTTTTGAGTGTCACATTTGTAAAAATGCCATTTAAAGATGTTCATTTACAAAAATACCACTAATTATACATTTATAAAACTTATATCTTAAAATTCTAAATCTTAAAAAATGTTTTGACACTTAAAACCCCCTAAACACTCAAAACTAGATCCTAATAGAACATAATTAACCCAAACATAAATAATATAAAAAAAATAATTTTGAAAAAATGGCATTTTTGTAAAAATTTCAAAAATGTGGCATTTTTGTAAAGTGGCACTTGAAAAATGGTATTTTTTGAAATTTCTCAATTAAATATCAACATTAAATTGGCATGAATTGATCAACATATAAATTAAAATATATATACACAAACTTCATTCAATAAGCATTCGTGTGCATATATAACATATAAAACAAACTCCAATTTAAAGTTCTTCTCATCCTGTTTCAAAAAAAAAAAAAAGAAAGT